CTGGGATCATGACCTGAGCCGAAGGCAGACGCTTAACCGACTGAGCCACCCAGACGCCCCTGTTTGTTTGTTTTTTAAAGAGAGAGAGAGCACACTGGCGAGATGGCAGTGGAGAAGGGGCAGAGGGAGAGGATCTTAAGCAGACTCTGCACTGAGCACGGAGTGGAGCTCGATACCAGGACCCTGAGATCATGACCTGAGCCAAAATCAAAAGCCGGAGGCTTAACTGACTGAGCCACCCAGGTGCCCTAAAGACATCAGGTTTTAAGCCATCCGAGTCATTTGTCAATTTATATCTCGATAACTAAAATATCTAAGCAACTTTTCAAAAACCCAAACAACAATATGCAAATAGTCTAACCCATAAATAGATCTACGTGTGCTGGTTATCTCCCATTTACCCAACCCCCAATCTGTTCTCCATTTTGCTCTGCCCCGCTCAGGGCCTCAGGAGTCTAATGCTGCATACAGCATCACCCGGGATCCCTTGCCACCTAACTCCCAGTTGTACTTAGCAGTGCAAGGGGCCGGGGGCTGTCTTCCCTACTCTTTCTCAGCATGCACCCTAACTCGGGTCACAGCTGTGTCTGTCCAGATTATAGCTCTGATGGGGTGGATCCTCCTGCCTGGTTCCCCTGGGCTCTCATATTCCTACTTCCTCCCCTTTCTCCTTCAGGTCTAGAGAGGGTAATAGCAGAGATAACACACACAGATATTGTGTAATGCCCGAAGCTCCAAAGAAAACCAGAAAAGGATAGAGAAGAGTGAAGACAGCTGCTAAAGCTTTTGAAACTATTGGAAAACACTGATCTCAAAGTAGAGCACAAACCTACATGTTAGGAAGAACAAATTCATAGCAATGTAAGATACAGTTTCTAATGTGAAAAGGGAGGTTATAATGTTAAGGTAGAAACATTTATCAAAGAGTCAGGTTTCCCATAAAAGTACAAAGAGCCTAAACCCCTAATCTGAACACTTCTTAGTATAATTTGAAGCCATTGAGCTTTGTACATAATTCTTAAGTAGAAAGGGCATCAAGTTGTCTTCAAATTGGAGTTCTGCCAAAGCACAACAATAAAAAACTGCTCCGAAAATTCCATAGATCTCTTTGGCACACAACTGTAAGGAATCTGTGTTAAACTGCCAAGCACTCAAGAGGATTTTATATATAAACCCTTCTGAAATGGCTGGCAGGACAGATAGTTAATCTCTTTAGTTAAAATAACTTTCCAAAGTAAACATCAAAGATGCAAAGCTACATTTTTATGGAGAAGGATGGCAAAGCAGAACTGGTGAGAGGGCAGGGCAGGCTGAAACACCATCCCACCACGTCCAAGGTCAGGAGAACCTCAGGACAGTCTGAAGGAGACTCAGGCAGGGCAAGGTAATGCCAAGAGTCCACTGCCTCTTCTACAGAGACATGAACTTGGACAATAGAAGACACGGTGTGCGAATGTGTCTCAGGGCAGCGATCATGCCGTGAACACCTCTACAATAGTGCTGGGAAGTCCGAGTTAGCCATGGTCTGTGTAGTTAGTGTCCCCAACAAGAAGGGATTCCATAGAGGAAATATGAACCATAGACATGTGTAGAGAAAAGGACATTTCCACAGACATGTAAACTGAGCTGAGATCATTCCTAAAGAAACCACTTAGGACTTTTTCTTTTAAAATTCTACACAGGGGGCGCCTGGGTGGCTCAGTTGGTTAAGCGACTGCCTTCGGCTCAGGTCATGATCCTGGGGTCCCGGGATCGAGTCCCGCATCGGGCTCCCTGCTCGGCAGGGAGTCTGCTTCTCCCTCTGACCCTCCCCCCTCTCATGTACTCTCTCTCTCTCATTCTCGCTCTCTCAAATAAATAAATAAATCTTTAAAAAAAATAAAATAAAATAAAATTCTACACAGTGTTAAGACCTAAAAACAAAACCTTCCAGAGATTTTATTTACTTATTTCTATTCTTGTCTACTTCAAAAGATGATTTGGGCAGACTCCTTGAAGACCCATGTAAGCTATAGCCTTATCACCACACACATCCTCCTTGACAGATTCCTAAAGAAGGTTCCCAGGGAGAGCCTCAGATCCCCATCGGGGATCTCTCAAGCCAAGTCATTAGAGGACAAACACACAGGCCCCCTTTCATGATATGGGTTATTACCACTAATCACTACAGCACGAAGCAAAAACTTATCATCAGTCTACTGAACTTTATATCCTTGGGATCCTTTTCCTTTGCAAATGTAAACTAGAGGAGTCAAGTGATAATTAAGGTAGAAGGGAGACAAAAGTACCCGAACTGTGAGTGATCCCAGATAAGACAGAGGCATAATGTGAACTTCCTAAATGGAAAGGAGTAACTACATGATGACTATTATTCCTTAGTATACTAAAATCTCATGGAAACAGATAACAAAGTGAACACAAACTTGGTTAAGCAGAATTTGAATCTGCTCACAGGCCTCCCTGGGGGAAAAAAAAAAGAAACAAAAAAAAAACCCAAACAAATAAAACAATCCAGGTAAGAATGGTCTATAAGATGTGAGGGAAACAATAACCAAAACCAAACATTTAAAAGAGTAAAGAGCAGTAAAACACAATCACACCATCGCAGTTAGGCAGAGAAAACATAGGATAAATGGTTATTGCCAATTTATGGATATGTTCACAGATCTTCAAAAAGTACCAGGTCTTGGGCTTTCAAAATTCCAATAGATTAATAACAATTATTCTATGTGGAGAGAAAATTGCGGTGAAAGGAGAAAAAATTTATATTCAAAAAGCTTCATATTAAGAATTATCATTTTCTGTTTCTCTTCTAATATAGATGAGCGAAACAACTTACTAATCCCAGAGTCTGAGCAACACCAGATGACAAGACCAGCTTCTTGGTAGAGGAGGGAAGACAGCCCCTCAGCCCAGAAATAGAGGTTTTTTGTTTTTTTTTTAAGATTATGCTAAAAATTTTTATTTTAAGAAGCACCAATTTTAATCACTATCTACCAAACTGACTTTACTATTTCCATATTCTTATTCTTATGAAAAACTAACTTCTCAACTCAATGATTAAAAGAACAACAGGGGCGCCTGGGTGGCTCAGTCGTTAAGCATCTGCCTTCGGCTCAGGTCATGATCCCTGCGTCCTGGGATTGAGCCCCACATTGGGCTCCCTGCTCGGCAGGAAGCCTGCTTCTCCCTCTCCCACTCCCTCTGCTTGTGTTCCCTCTCTCGCTGTGTCTCTCTCTGTTAAATAAATAAATTAATTAAATAAAAATAAAAATAAAAGAACAACAAAAACCTAAGAGCCTTCTAACAGAGCCAAACCTACTTGGTTCAGTTGCAAAGATTGTCCTAGGTGGCTTCCTACCCACTTGTGTTTGACATCCTCTTCTCCCTCCAGAAATCCCCTTGCCCTCACCCACCCTTTTGCCTCCAAGAATCACACCTGGGCCCCATTTACACAGAATCTTCTAGTTTGTGAGTCTGGAAACACCCTTAGTTGCTAACCTATGCTACCTTTCCCAGGAAATGCATAGGTTTCCATAATATACTTGTTAAAGATAAGAAAGTCTTTAAGACCCACACAACTCTTTAATTGTGGTTCTGAATCATGTAATAAGCATAAGAAAGATATTTTTGAATAAAGAGGGCTTTCCTTCTTTTCTCTAATTGCATCATTTAAGCAGCCACCTCCTCCACCTACTTGTAAGACCAACACTGCATCTGTATTTCCTTAAAAGGGAATATTTACCTATTAGACAAAGTGCTGCTTTCCACGTGGTAAGGTTTTCTTTTTGCTGACCTTGAAGGGGAGCGATCCAAAAGTCTCTGGGTTTGAAATGTAGGGTGATTCAAACACTGTTCTGTCAAGTATCTGTCAGCTGGGTCCAACTTCAGTAAATTCTTAGGAAACAAAGTTAGGATTGGAAAGAACATTACAAAGTCAAATTTAAATTGTAATAAAAATCTTATTTCTTTTCCTTATAAAGGAAATGCATGGTCATTGCAAAATATCTAGCAAACACAGTTTAGTAAAAAAAAATTTTTTTAATAGGGCTATTTAAATTACCACATTGTCAGGATGCCTGGGTGACTCAGTTGGTTAAGTGTCTGAATTCAGCTCAGGTCTTGGGGTCCTGGGATCAAGCCCTGTGTCAGGTTCCATGCTCAGCGGGGGTATGCTTCTCC